CTCCGTCGACACACAATCAATGTCTCGAACCTCAACTGATGTCTTTGGCTTAAGAGCACGGACGGTGCCCTGTCCTTCAACAGCTGCCTTCAGTTCGGCAGTAAAGGCTGCTTTGTCTTTCGACTTACCCAGTTCAAGGACCCCGTCCCGGGTTTGTCTAATCGACCGTACAACCGTATCGGTCTGCTCTGGCTTAGCCTTGGCCTTAATTGCACCCCAGACCTCGGCGAAAGACCTCCCCCCTGAGGGTTTGACCAGGATTGCCTCCGTCCTGGGCTTTTTTGGCCGGGACTTTTTCGGAGCAGAGACCGAGCAGGGCCCAGTTTGGGCCACGCCGGTCGGCTGTACCTTCACTGCCACATTCTTTATAGAGGCGACCTCCGCCCGCCTCAATTGCCTTTTCTCCTTTTGGGAACGGCGTTTTTCCCACGCAGCCTCAGGTGTCTCTACAACTGATCCCTTTCGGTAACTTCCCTGAGGGGGGGTCGTAGGTAGCTGTGGCTGTTGGTTCTTCACAGAAGCTGCAGCTATGGCCGAAAAGGATCTGGGCACAGCAGACAATAGGTCCGTCTGAGTCGCCTTGGCCTTCACCGTGGTCCTTTTGGTCTGCCAACTCTTTTTTGAGTACTGTCCGATGTGGAAGGCCTCTTACGTTTCTTAGAAGGCAGCGCTCTTTCGTCGGACAGAGACACAACCTTCTAGGCAATCTTCTCCATGGCCGCCTTGCTCACCACCCGGCAGGCAAAAACGAATCCAAGGTCCTCTAGTTTGGCCATGCCGTTTTTGACCACTTGGTTTACGGCTCTCTGAGTCCGGAAGGTGTCTAGCATAGCCTTTATCGTAACTTCCATGTCTTGGAGCCGGGTTTCAATGTCACTCTCTGCATCAAGATATCCCTGACGCAGAAGCACCACCTCAGAGCCTTCCGACCTCGACGTTGCTGTGAAAGGATCCTCCGGCATTCCAACAGCAGAACTTGCTGGTAACGCCAGCTCGACGCCTGCAACTCCAACGTTTTCCGCACCGCTCCAGCTCCACTTGCCGAAGAAGATCCTAAAAGGGGGAACTCCTAAGTGCATTTGAAAGGTGCAGGTGGCGGGGTTGTCCTCACTTTTTTTGGTGGTGGCGATCTCTGAACCTTGGAGCTACGAACAAAAGGGTTCCGCTCCACTTCCAACTTCTTTTCCTGCTCATTTACTCATACTTTTACTCTTTTAGTGATAAGAAGTGTTAATGTATTTGTCCTTACCACTGACCTGAGCTTGTGCCAGAAAAGAATCAAGCAAAGGCTTGACTTATCATGTAATATCTTTTAATGTTCAAACAATGTGATTCCCACTAACAAAACCAGCAATGCTATTACAATGATTTACTACTGGTTTACTATTGATATCACTGCTTGTTTTTACTAATAGCTAAAACTGAAATTTTGAAAGATTCTGCTTTTAAATCATAAACATGTATAACACAAAAGTCACTAAAAACTTAGGTTTGCTCAATCACATTTAGAAAGTACAATTTTAAAAATAAATATTGATTTTACAAAATGATCGGAAGAATTTCATGCACTGTCAATGTGGTGTATAAAAAAAACTCTGCATTATAGGGTGTTTATTTTCAACACAACCTTAACTAAAAGAACCGGGAGACACATTTAAACGACACAGCAAGCTTATTTGTTGGTATCCCCGTTTTCTTTACTTCATGGCTGATAAGACTCAAAATGTGTTTTCACGAGATCTTTAAAATAGGGTATATATTGAAGGTTTCTGTTTATTTTTGTTTATTACAGATCCGGCAAATTTTTTGTATGTCAATTTGGTTGATTTATTAGGTACTGGAATCACAAAAAGAATAGTTATTTATGTAACTAGTGAGCAAAGTGGCACTTTGCTGCACACAAGAGCGCGGCGAGTGCGGAATGATCTCGAGTGCAGCAAAGGCCTTTTGCACTCGTGTTACACATTTTCTTTTCCTACAGTCACTATAAAGCATATAAATAATTAGTCTTTCAAACACTATATAATATGTTTTTAGGTTCAGCTGGCAACACAAATAGGTGCCCTAGAAAAAGTAGTCACAGGTCCGTATCACTCCGCTATTTTTTCCTCAGCAAGGAATGTGCTCCGCGACTTGAGAAAATAGTTCCGTATGTTTTTGTAATTTGCAGTGATTTCCGCGCCTAAAAAGTGCTTTAAAGGTATTTCCTTGTTTATTAAGATCGTAGGACTTTTTTAAAAACGTTTAAAAGAAAAGTCCAGAAAGTTCAGAAATACCGAAAAAAGAACATAAACTATAAACACGAAATGACAGGTTAAATCGTAGTTATAATAGTCAATCAGCTACTCATAGTATTATTTTTCTTTAAGTGTTGCCAACCTATTTCCAAGCGTACATGGATTACGTGCATAGTAGAACCCACGCTATTTTGTGTTGTTTTGTTGAATCCTGATGTGCACTAAAGTATAAACCGTACGACAAAGTATAAATATGCCGCAATTAGCAGCTTTCTGTACTATATAAACAGTACAAGGAAGCCAACTTTGTCGGGTGACTGTAGGAAAACTTAATTTAAAACATTTCAATGATTTACTTTTAATGTATTATTCATTGTGTTCAATGTAGAAAAGATTATGTTAAAAGTAAATCATTGTATTTTTTTCAACTTTCAGAGACAATACGTGAGGATGGCTGGTTTGATCTAGTCTTCCCTAAGGGTGATCATGCAGACAGATTCTTCAACACACTCCTTACCGGTTGTCAGGAGGCCACACATAAAGAGCTGTGTGAAGCCTTGTGTGAACCTGTTTAATACAGGGTGGAGCATGGCAAATCGCTCTTTATACACGTTCGCAGGGACAGACCTATGAATGTATGGTCAACCTAGGAGCTACATTTTCCCCCATATATCATAAGATTGTAAAGGGAATAAAGGATTGGAATAGGAAAATTATAGCATTATTATTATTATAGGACTCTGGCTTATAGCATTGGTTACTGGATCGGCTACAGAAACATCGCCTAAGAAACTTTGCTGAAACGACAAGACTGAAAATATTAACAAAATGTTGTATTGTATACAGTTACAAAAAATAAAAAAAGGTTATAAGTTATTAGATAACAATGTGGGAACTATGATGTTTGCAGATTATATAATTCAGTGGGGAAGAAATTAAGGAGTTACAAAGACAACTGGATAAATGGGCGGAGGTTATAAGAGAGAGGGGAAGAATAAGTAAGGAAAAGAGTGAAGTGATGGTTATCGGAAGAGATAGTGTGTTGGAACACCTTTAAAAGTAGAAGGAAAACCACTTAAGTTGATTGAAAAATTTACATATTTAGACACGGTGATTTCGAACGATGGAAGGATGGTGCAAGAGGTGAGGGCGAGACTGGGGAAAGGTGCAGGATTTTACTGTACCAAAGTATTAAGGCCTATTTCGCTTGGAGCGATTGCAGCAATAGTCGCGTGGCGACAATTGCTCTGCGATAGTAGCTGGGCACTGCTCTGACGGAGTTTGCGTTGTCCTGTTTTGCTTGGAGCGACTATCGCAAGAGTCGCTAGCTATAGTCGCGGACCACTGCCCTGGATACCAGTATGAGCGATAATCGCGCCGCGACTGATGCGCAGAACCTCAAAACAGTCCAGTTCAGCACTCAGTAGGCACATTAATAATAGGGGTTAAAATAGCCATAATTTACTTTTTTGTTCAAATTATTTTTCCTATTCATGTGCTGTTACGATTCTACTGTTTTGGTTATATTTCCTTACACATTCATTTAATTTTCTACATTAAATTGTAAAATAAACAGGCGACACTTTATTTCCAGCAAACTTTGCATTTTCATTACTCAAATGGTTGTGTTTACATTTTTTTGGGTAATCCTCGTCTATTCAAATTTAAATATAAAATGCTTGACTGTTTCAAGTTGACTATGTGTTATTTAGTTGTGGGTTTTAATACTGTATTAGATGTTTGTACGAATAAATATTTTTTATTTAGACTCCAAGTTTTATTTTCCAACATTCATGTAGGCCTACTCTTATTGATATCACTACAGTTTTCTATTTATATCCTATCTAGTTACGTCTAGTGATACGTATACGTCCCAAATCCTAAATATCACAATGTATTTTCTATCGATTGTCTATTGATACTTCCACTAGAGTCAAGTAGAGCCTTGTCTTCTAACTCCTCCCTGAGGAGATACTTTAATAAGTTACAACACATACCGTACTCATGACTCATGACACCATTGTGAGTGCTGGTATTCAACTAACTATGAAAAATCGTGCGGCGACCGAAAATCAATCGCTCTAAGCAAAACGGCTGCCGTAACAGCGATAGTAGTTGAGCGATAATCGCTGTGTGACTATTGCTACAGTCGCTCAAAGCAAAATATACCTTTAGACACCTAGTCTGGGATAAGGATATACCAAAGAAAGCTAAAGTTACCATGTACAAAACGTACTATATACCGATAGTTTGGTGCTGAAGTTTGGAACATAACAGAGAGGGAATGGAGTAGGGTTCAGGCAGGGGAGATGAAGTTTATAAGAGGGATAAAAGGTAAAACAAGATTAGACAGAATGAGGACTGAAGAGCTGAGAAGAGGAATAGTTTATGAAAGTTTGAGAGAACGAGTAGAGAAGACAAGATTGAGATGGTTCGGCCACGTAAGAAGAATGGAGAATGAAAGAATCCCGAAAAGAATGAGTGAACGTCGAATTGATGGAAGAAGACCAAGAGGAAGAGGAAGGCCCAGCAGAGGGTGGATCGACGAGGTAAAACGTGATGTGGAAGCAAGAGGGGTGCAACGGCAGTATGTGGAGGAAGTGGAATTGTGGAAGGACAGAAGAATATGTAGAGGCCTAGTGAACACCCAGACCCGAAGATAATCGGACCGGGAGAGGATATGTATGTATGTATATTTTGGAAAATCGCAGTGCAACTCCTATCATTTGTTTAAAATTAGTAGTCTTAACGTTTGTCTTAGATCTTCACAGTGGTGGATGACATATTACATGTGTTTTTGGGAATGCATTCACCTGATCTAATACAATCAGGCATAGATGAACGTGACCAAGAGTTAAACTATGGTTAAGTAAGCTTTGGCTAGGTGTCTTGATATTCAGACCAGGTAGAAAAATATTTCCAACACAGATTTAATAAATAGTAAATGGCAGAGACACTTTGCAGAGCATCAATAGGAATATATTTGAATGTGACAGACCTTGACTAAGCTTAGCAGAAATTAATTAAAACAAAGCCTTACACTCAGTAATGAATTGATATACAAAGCTACTCCTTGCAAGTAGTAATACAAAGACCCTCATTCTTTTTCTTCAAATATTTTTTGAAAGCAGAAAAATATCAGACCATACATTGTTATTTGGTCAATGATAAGCCTTCATTAGTTGCCCATAATTGAAACATGCAGAAATAGAAATATAAAATTACCGGTAAG